ATATGTTTTTAAACTTCAGATTTTTTAATTAAAAGTAAAGAAAGTAAAGAAAGCAGGGTATGATAAACTATTCCTTTTGCACACAACATTCTTGTACCTCATTAAACACCTGCTGAGTCCTGATCTCTGTTTGGACATATTACATTGCTCCTATGAGACTAGATGGGTCAGCAAATCTGCCTCTCTATTTGGCCTAATTAGCCAAGAATCACCAAGTGACTAATGCTAAAATCATTATCTCCTAGCACTATTATCATATTCTTGGCCACTAATTTGGCCAAGGCAGGTTTTCCTAACCAGATATCTTGAGTCTGCAATTACATCATTCCCAGCCAGCTTCCAATGCTTGTTGTAAATACTGGGAGTTTAAAACTCAATATCTGAGACTTGGAAGCGGGTGTGAGTGGATTATTGTAATCTTTTGAGATTACATGAAAGATGTTCCTTTCCACATTGTCAAGTTTTTAACTTTAGGTTGTGGATTCTGGATTCTATTCTATGGTTTACTGCTCTATAGTATTTGCAGCATGAGTTTCAAGTTACAAAACTCGTCCTCTTTTACCATTTTACAGTTCTCCCCTTGTCCCCTTATGCCTCTTTCTCCTAATGGAGCTGAAGGAAGTTAGCAACCCCCCCCCCCCCCCTAGAAGAATGAAATATTTTAGGATATATTAAAAAGGCAGAATATTATATTTCCTTGGATGAGAAAAGGAGAAACATATTTTAAAGACAAAGCAGCTCCCTGCCCCCCCCCACTCCAGCTACAGGGTGAGGGGATTAAGACATGGCCCACATGACATGATAGGATTAGCCCTCTACCCATCTAGCAACAGAACTCAGAACATGGCACCTGGGAGATTGCATCACTCAGCACCATTCAACCAAGCTTGGGACTCAAGAAAACCTACAAAGTTACCCTTGTATGGCCCCATAGGAGTCTGACAGCCACAGGAACAGGAAGCTCCAAAGCGGGGCCTAAGAGAGGGCATAAGCAGTGGTGGGCTCCAAATTTTTAAACAACTGGTTCTCTGCCCTAATCACTGGCTGGCTGGGTGGGCGTGGTTGGATGGGACTTGGCTGGGAGGGTCATGTGACTGAGTGGGAGTGGCCAAGTCTACGTCACTTGTGTGGGTTATACCTGTATGGGACAGGCAGTGTTGGGGAAGAAATCCAGGGGTCTACGGTGGAGGGGTGGGAGGAAAGAAAGATCCAACATATCTCCCTCCCTCTCTCTCTCTCTCTGTGTGTGTGTGTGTGTGTGTGTGTGTGTGTGTGTGAAAGAGAGAGAGACTGCGTCAAGCTAGACTGGGAAAGCTAGCTGCGAGAGGAAGAGAAGCTGGGTAAGCTAGAACCAGATGCTTCCTGGGTCCCCTCATTGCAGAAGCAGCAACCTCACACTCTCCCCTCTCTGCTAGCCCCCTTCTTCACACAGGATTGTCCAGCAGCGGAGACAGAGAGGGAGAAGGCAGTGGCGGCTGCTAGCATTGAGGGGAGAGTGCCACACAGAAACGGGAGCACACAGAAACGCTGCCTCCTTCTCCCTCTCCATTGCTCCATTGATACCGTGTGAAGAAAGGGGCTAGCAGAGAGGGGAACAGTGTGAGGTTGCTGCTTCTGGGACGAGGGCACCTGGGATATATCTGGGTCTGGCACACCTGGCTTCTCTTCCTCTTGCAGCCAGCTTTTTCGGGCCATTTTCAGACCATTTTTCAGGCCATTTTTGGACTAAATACCGGCCTGAAAACAGCCCAGAAATGGCCGTTTTTTGGGTGGGTTTTTTGAGCCATATTCAGGCTGATTTTTGGGCTAATTTCAGGCCTTTTTAAAGGCTATTTTCAGGCCAATTTTTGGGTCAATTATGGCTGGAAAAATGCCCTGAAAATGCCCTGTTTTTTGGCTGTTTTATAGACCATTTTTCACCAAAATCCAGCCAAGAATGGCCTGAAAATGGCCGAAAACAGCCCGAAAAACAGATGAGCTGGGGCCAGCTGCTGATCTGATTTGCTGGTTCTCTGGACCATGCAGAATAGGAACAACCAGTTCTGGTGAACCGGTCCGAACTGGTAGCAGCCCACCTCTGGGTATAAATCTCTCTCTCTCTCTTCCACATGCTCATTTTGCCCAGGACCTCAAACCATGTGGTCCTGTCCACCATTAAACCATCTTTCCAAATAGCCTCCATGTTTCCAGTGTCTTTCTCCCCACTTGGAACTGAACCCAGATGGACATTTCTTCCAACAGAGTTTATCCTTCAATCTGCTTTTCAATCTTATGTCTAATGCAGAAGACTATTGCCAAATATGTTTGTAAATCACTTGTTGTATGCGCTACTCCTTCCTATTCCCTGCTTAGGGGGGGGGGAACCTCTTTTCCTCCTTACATGAATTTTGAGTCTTGGTCCCAGAAGAGCTGTGTGTGTTTTCTAACTCAACGATAGCTATAGTGCAGTATATTAATGCTGTATTCTTGTATACTTTCTTTTCCTTTCCATGTACAGGGAATTTGAACTCCTACCTGAAAGGATAGTTGGAGACTGGTAATAGTATGTTTTTATTGCCTGTGCTCTTTAGGGCTGATGAATGGGGACACTGTGATATTGTTTGATATATTGTGTGTTAATGATGCAGGAATATATCTCTGCTGAGAATGTATCTCTGTGAGTCTGAGTTCATTTGCTCCTTTTGTGCATGGGTGATACTTGGTTGTCATTGATTTATGTTCTCTGGAAGTGTTTCTGGAGATGTTGGAGGGGGCAGGGAGGAATTGTATCTGCCATTTTTATGGCATTTTACATTTTTTCTATCATGTTATTTCTCCTCCTTGCCTGGATTAATCGCATATACTCATTTATCTTATTTATGGTACTTTTAGAAGATATTGTAGCAATTCTACTGAAATAATGGTGTATCTTCCTGTCATCTCTCTAAGCTTGAGTGGTACACAAGCACAATGCATTTATGTACTTACCAACAAATGTATTCCATGTTGCTCCAAAGTCTTGGAGTGGCTATCATCAGATGATAACAAGGTAGGGAAAACATGCAGAGCTTTCAAAATAGCTCTGTTCTGATTCATATAACTGGGGGAGGGGAGGAAGGGGGCATAGAATGGAATAATCGGCAAAATTTTGAACTGCTGAATTGGCATCTCCCATAGGGATGTATTGGAGATTTTTTCTTTGCTTTTTTTCCTTAATTCCTGGGTTGTACTAGCCCATTTTCAAACTCAGTCTTTCTTTTACTGGTTTTCCTTTCCCTCTCCTTCCCCCCTCCCCCAAAAAAACCCCTTTGGTTTCATTTTTTTCAGTTTTCAGCAAGCTGTCTTAAGCTTGTACAGCTATACAAGCAGGTACAGTCAAATCCTGAAATCCATTACAGAGTTTCAACATTCTGTAGGGTTGGAAAGAATAAAAAACAGAAGACTATAAATAAATAATAACGGGATTAAAGAATTGTATTCCTACTAGTAGTTCTAACTCAAAAAATAATGGCACATTCAGAAGGATTGCAAAACAAATCCATTTATTGTTTTAATCTTCAAAAACACTACTGAAGTGGTGAGCCTTGGTTGCAAAATGGCAGGAGGGTGCAACCCTAAGATTTCTAGGATGGCATGTTTGACCAGAATAGGGCAACTATAGGGAAAGATCTCATTCTGGGTCTGTCCCTCATTAACCCACCAAAGAGAAGAAACCGAAAACATCCATTTATAATTGATTTGCTAGGGTGGTAGAGTCTCTGTGTATGGAGCGTTCTGGCTTTTATTTTCCATGTGCTTGTAAAGCTTTATTCTTAGAGGGAAGATTTTTAGAGGTTTAGCAATAATCCAAGTTTCCTCAGAAATTATTCAGGTGACAATTATCAGCATGCACTTTTGTTAAATTGTCAAGTGTCTGTGGTACCTGAACAATGTTGCATGGTGAAATTTCATTCAAATCCAGGATATTATTATGCAAAAGATGTTGCATTTAAACCTGTATCTTTTGTTGATGTTATTAATAAAGTGTAAAAAAAAATTCCACCTGCCTTTTCAACAAGTTCGTATTTACTGTCTCATTATTTAAGCTTATTAAATATAACAAAATGTAGAAATGTTTAAAATTCAGTACACATACCATCCACTGTCGCTTTTGCTTTCATATTACAGGTTAACTACTACACGCCAAAATATATTTATATCTCCAATTTATATTTGTAGCTACCAACTGTAGAGTTTTTTCCTTTTAAGTTCTTCCCTCCCACTCCTCCCCACCCTTAAGCTAAGAAAACCTCTTCTGTTTTGAATTCTTTTGTGTGCACTTTTATTTTCCAGAATGTACTGAGTTGTCTGGCAGAGCAGCCATCTCCCCCTTCAATATGGAGATTGGGGTAATGGCATGTGTGTGGGGTGGGTGAATGGGGGTGGTGGGGAGTGGTGGGTTCCTGCTGAGCTCCCCAGACAGGGAAATGTGCATCTTTCCTTACACAAGGCAGGCTGCAATTTCCGGCAGACATTTGAGGTCTCTGACATCTGCATAATGTGCTCTGGTTTCCTAGCAACCAGGAACAGCTGTCTGACATTTCCAAGATTAAACTGTAACTATACACGGGCATTTCCAAAAGCCAGGGGACAGATAGGCTTTTCCTGGCTCATTCCAAGCCATGTATGTTTTTCTCATTTCCCAGTCTGAAGAAAGACACTTGAGATCCTGCGATGAGGCCACCACTTCTGCTGAGAAAGCAGATTATGAATGTACATGCTTTGTTTTTAAAGAAATGTGTGGGGAAGGAAAGCCAAACACAGAAGCAGAAATAGTTTAAATAAAACCTCACAAGATGATTCTATCCTTCTCCATTGGATCAGTTATAAAAATCCTTGCTATTGAAGTTTTGGATTCCCACTAGCCTGAGAGGAGATATTATAATAATGCAGCTATAGACTAATTTAGAGAAATGGAGTAGAAAACAAATGTAAATATATAACTTATATTATATAACTTATATAACATGGACATAACTTACCTGAGAGGAGGTCCTATTGATTGCAGCAGAAATTGTTTCTGAATAAAATCCTATATGCATATGCATTCAGGCTAATCTTGAATAAATACACAGGATGAATTATTACATAAATAAATGAACTGACATGGTATGGTTTTAAAATCTGAGAAATAAGCTGTGCTATGCTGATACACTGACCTTAATAGCCAAAAATTCAAAGGATCTGTAAGGTCTACTAAAAAATGTAAAGGAGCATAGTGGAAAAAATGGAACTAAAATGTAAACAAGACCAAACTAACAGGTACAACAACTAGAATTGATGATAAAGACATTGAAGTTGTAGATAGCTTCTGCCTTTTGTGATCAATCATCAACAGTAAAGAAACAAATAGTCAACAAAATTTGTCAATAAGTAGCACTTGGTAAATCAGCCATGATGGCCTTAAAAATGATGCAGTATTCAAATATTGTGATGTGTCAATCTACAAAGATCAGATCTGTGCAAGCAGTGGTATTCTCTGCAACTATGGAAAAACAAAAGTTGGACTTATTTAAACACAACAGGAAGAATATAAATGGTGTTGAACTTTGATATTGAGAAGATTCTTCAGAATACACTGGACAGCCAAGAAAACAAACCTATGGGTCATTGATCAAGCAGAGTTTGTTCAAATCAGAGTTCTCAGTTGAATTACAAATAAGGCTCAAATAATAATACTTCAGACACATTATGTAAAAAGTTAGCTCTCTGGAAAAGGCTGTAATGCTAAGAAAGGTGGAAGTAAATAGAAGAGGACCAGCAGTGGATGGACTCAGTTACATTGGCAATGGGTACACCATTAGAAAACCTAAAAGGTCAAGTTAGGGAGAGATTGCCATAAAGGAAAACTATGTGGATTCTAAGAGTCAAAACTCTTGATAGCTTGATAGCACATAATTGAACAATCAATCAATATTCAAGAAGGCAGATGAATAAATATGTCATCTTTTCATTTCATGAGACACTTCTCTGGTAGGATTACATAGTTAAAATATTTTATCCTACTCTTTCATAGCATAGTTACTTATCTCCAAAAAGATTCTGTTTATTTGATTGGATTAACCCAGGAAGGAATGCTCACTTCTAAGTCCTCCTCAAAAGATTATGAAGTTGGAAGCCTAGAAGCAGATTTCTTGATGGCTGCCCCATAATAGTGGAATGAACTGTTCCCAAGTTCCAGTTGTCTCCTTTTTTTTCCAATTTGGAGTAAAAAAATACTCTGATGAGCATTTAGAGCTTGATTTGGGTGTATTGTGTAGGTTGCTTTTTAATGTTCTTATGTTTTAATTAGTTTAAAACATTTTCTATGATCCACCCTGAGTTTGTTGAAGTAGACAGGATTGAAATTATGTTACTAAATAAACGTCAAAAAATGTATTTTCAGTATCATTAGGAGACAGTGAATAACCCATAGATGATCTAACTAGGAAAAAAAATGGTTCCTTTATAATCAGATTTTAAAATCTAAATTGTTTTCTTTAAATGGACTATGCATGGTTGCTGGATGGATTGTAGCTATGTTCATTACCATGATAATCAATGTTTGGTTCACTTTGCTTCATGCTGTTTTCTAGGTTGCTCTCTTAGACTGCTCTTTGCCATACAATAGAAATCTGTATACAGTATTAGCCTGGTGTTCTCTTGCTTGTAAAAGAGAAACACTGAAGATTTTAAATGCCAGAAACACGGGTGAAATGTTACCGGTTTGGACCGGTTCACCCGAACCGGTAGCAATAAAAGCTACTGGTTCAGGTGAACCAGTAGTAAAATTACTGGACTAACCGGTATTTCCGACAATCAGCTGTGCCACACGATTTATATTCGCTAGAAAGCAGCTGTTCCACTTACCTTGGAAAAGGCTTCTTAAGCCTCCTTTTTCACCGCTGCATGGTAGTGCCTGTGGTGCGCATGCGTGTGAAGCGCACATTTGGTGCACACTGCGCATGTGCGCACACAGCATGCATTTGGCATGCACCACACGTGCATGCGCAGTAGCATGTATTTGGTGTGCACTGCGCATGCGTGTGCAGCAAACCGATAGCAGACTTCGGAGCATTTCACCACTGGCCAGAAATATTAATCCACTTTGATGCATCTTTGCAACAAAATGGTTTCTTTTAACACAACTTTTCATGTGCCTATTTCAACAGGGAACCATGAATGATTTTTTTCTCCAAATTTGAGAAAAATATATTTTAAACTTTTCATGCAGTTGTAATATGGTAAAAGAAGGATATTGGCAGGATCAGTCCAAGTCATTGCACCAGTTGTAATTTAAATCAAATGAATACATACAAGTCAAGATTTTAGTTTTAGATTTTATATAAAATAAACACATCTTTCAATGATATAATGCCATGTTCCCAGGCTACCTTGAAATCCATTGTTGTTTTCCAGCACAAAGGCCAACAAAAGTATACCATATCTATTCCACAGTTATTGAAGCTGAGTTCTTTTATTGTTCTATGCTCACTGACTTTTTAGTTTTGATTTTTTTTTTTAAGGTTGTTTTTCCACAAACACGAAGGGGAAAAAAGACATGCTTGGGATGCAACGCTCAGTTCCTTTTGGTGCTCTCCTGAGCCAAGGCTAGCAAGACCCAGGAATTTATTTGCTGGTGCCAGCAAGAAACACTGACCTGATGAAGAGAGGCAGCAGGACTTGGATTGATGTTCTTGCCAGGGATCAGCAAGCTGCCAGTGAGAACCAGCCTGCTGACTCATCACTGTTTCAGCTGCTGCGAGATGTTACAGCGGGTAACATGGATTCCTGGGAGCTGACTGTACCTTCTATAGTCAGGAAAAGCAGTTCGAGATGTAAGAAAATAACAGCTGGGTTTGGCTTATTGTATCATGAAAGCAAGCTACTAGTTAGACAATTCTCTCTGCCTGCTCTCTGTTTCTAGCCCACGCACCTCACTCCTTATACGGACCACTGAATCTATTTTGCAATATACTCCCCAAAGATGGATGTTTTGGTTTGACTTAGGAGACTTGAGTTCAAATTTAATTGCAATAATAGAATTTAAAGGATAATAATTTTGCCAAAGCAGCTCAGGGAGTGGTCCTGATAAGTCATAAGTATAATGGAAGGCAAATATAATTGCTTGAAGATCTGAGGAATAAAGATGCTGATAGTAATGACAGGAACCCACTGTATTAGAAATTATTTTCCTGATTAGACAAATTATCCTCATCATACTCTAAGAAGGAATAGAGTTTATTTGGAAATGGATGTACCATCTCAGAAAGAACATAGAAACAGATTTAAAATCATTCGGAATAAATAGCAAATACTAGTTTATAACATTTAGTTTAATGAGAAATGCAAAACATCTTTTCAGCAAAATATTTTGATAGCCATTTAACAATTATTTTTGCTGTGAATTCATTTAGTTTCTATTATTTGTTTTCTTTTATTTTGGTGTGTCTTTCTTATAACAACAGTCATATGGACAATATTCTGCTTGGAATTGAATATCTTGAATTGAAGCCTCAGGAAATTGCAGGCTAAGGATAGTGGAATGTTAATAATAGACAACATGAACAAAGACGGGTTTCAACAGGTTCTGACCAGTTCTGGAGAACTGGTAGCGGAAATTTTGAGTAGTTCGGAGAACCGGTAAATACCACCTTTGACTGACCCCACCCCCAGCTATTCTCTGCCTCCCGAGCTGATTGGGAGGAAATGGGGATTTTGCAGTAACCTTCACCAAGCCATACCACTGAACATGAAGTGATGCTGAGGTACACTGCACACAAATATGTGCACATATATCCATACTAGAAACCCAATCCATGTTGTGTCATTGTTTCAGAGATATTTCTTTACCTAAACAGAATAACAGAATGACTGCAGGTGACCAAAAAAAAAAGCAATGTGAACCAGGAGTGACTTCTGACTTTCTGCTGACTTCTTCACTAAGTTTCCTCGTGGAAAGCTGGTAGGGAAGGCATGAAGAGTGGTGCTGGCATGTGTCAGGGAGGATGTGTGTGGTGTGCCATAGGTCAGAGGAGCACATGGGGTTGGTTCAGGAAGAGAGGTTCATTCCTCCCTGTTTCCCTTTCCTTTCCTTTCCTTTCCTTTCCTTTCCTTTCCTTTCCTTTCCTTTCCTTTCCTTTCCTTTCCTTTCCTTTCCTTTCCTCTCCTCTCCTCCCCTCCCCTCCCCTCCCCTCCCCTCCCCTCTCCTCCCAGGCAAGTAGGAAAATGGATACTGTTGGATGGGGGACTGAATAATGGATTGCAAGAGTGGTTGGTAAACTTGTTCAAAATGAGCATCATGAGAGCAGCACAACAGCAACCACAACTTTCCCAAATTTCATTGCCTTGGAAGTCATGGGTCCCATATTTTGAATGCACTCTGTAAGCTAAACCATCTGAGGTACCTTGGTTCAAAAATTTTTGCTCTATGATGCATTGTTTCACCCAGTTAAAAGTCATGACAATGAGAGTATCACAGAAACACACACACATACACACACACACACAGAGAGAGAGAGAGAGAGAGAGAGCAGGGATGGGATTCAGCCGGTTCAGACCAGTTCAGACGAACCGGATGTTAATTTTAATCTGGTTCGCTGAACTGGTTGTTCCAAGGACTGGCTGACCCCGCCCACCCCTCCCTGCCCTACCCAGGAGTCTCCACGCTGCCTGTTTTGGATGTGAGGTTTAGTGCAGGGACCGCACGGAGGCTCTGGGAGGGTGAAAAACAGGACTACTGGAAGTCTGGAAATGGGCCCATTTTCAGCCTCTGGAGATCCTCCAGTGCCTGGGGGAGGCCATTTTCACCCTCCTGGAGGCTCGAGGAAAGACTTTGGAGCCTCTGGAGGGTGAAAAACGGGCCTACCGGAAGTACCGGAATTCTGGAAACGGGCCCATTTCTGGCTTCCGGAGGGCCTCCGGAGACCGGGGAAGGCTATTTTCGCCCTCCTAGATGCTCGAAGAAAGCCTCTGGAGCCTCTGGAGGGCAAAAATTCCCCCCCACCACCATGGTGCAGGAG